CTCTGACTTCCTTTTTAACAACCTTGCCTTTGTAAATAGGAGTCCAAAACATTAGCAAAGGTATATAAATCCAAATCACCCAGGTAAAAAATTTCAAGTTACAGTAGAAAAATAATTAAACAATGATAATAATAACTACTTTTATTCTAAAAGATACTAGAAAGCTAAGTACTTTATATAAATTACTAGAGGCCCAGTGCACGAATTTGTGCACCAGTGGGGTGTCGGCCTGCAGGATCAAGCCAAAACCAACATCTCCTGAGGGGTCCCAGATTGCAAGAGGGCACAGGCCAGTCCGTCCAAGGGACCCCACTGGTGCACAATCAGGGCCAGGGAGAGACACAGGTTAGCCAGCTGGGGAGGGACTGCAGGAGGGCTCCAGGGTGTGTCCAGCCCATCTCACTCAGTCCCAATCAGCCGGACCCCAGAAGCAAGCTAACCTACTGGTCGGAGCATCAGAGCATCTGCCCCCTGGTGGTCAGTGCACGTCATAGCGAGCGGTTGAGTGGCCTTAGCATATCATGCTTTGATTGGTTGAACGGCCAACCGGTTGACCGGACACTTAGCATATTAGACTTTTATTATATAGGATGTACATGGTATTATCATTTACCATTACCATTTGCCTAGTGCTCATATAGCTAGATTTTAACCCCACCAATTTTACTTCAAGGCTTACACTTTTAAAGCTTATCTCATCCTGCCTCTTTATCCTATATAATAAAAGCCTAATATGCTAAGTGTCTGATCGGCTGTTCAACCAATCAAAGCATAATATGCTAATGATATGCTAAGGCCGCTCAATCACTCGCTATGACGTGCACCAGGGGGCAGACACTCCGACCAGTAGGTTAGATTGCTGCTGGGGTCCGGCCTGGAGCCCTCCCGCAGTCCCTCCCTGGCTGGCCAACCTCCCGCATCCTTCCCCCGCCCCGATCATGCACCAGTTGGGGTCCCTCGGCCTGGCCTGTGCCCTCTCGCAATCCGGGACCCCTCGGAGGATGTCAGGGAGCCAGTTTTGGCCCAATCCTGCAGGCCAGGCCAAGGGACCCCACTGGTGCACGAATTCGTGCATTGGGCCTCTAGTTTATACATAATTATAAATGCAACTATGACTTTCTGTATATATACACACACACCGTGTGTGTGTGTGTGTGTGTGTGTGTGTGTGTGTGTGTGTGTGTATTATTTGGTAAGTAGATAGTAAGCAACAGGCAATTAATTCCAACTTTGGCAAGGCTTTTATCCACCTTCACAAACCATTTAACAATTAGAAATCACTCCTCCCCAATAAATGGTGTTTTGAAAGTACTAGTTATATTTAACGTCTCCCTTGAGAAACTGATGAAAAAGATATGCATTAGGCTTTTGAGTAAAAGGATGAACAACATGAAAGGATAAAAATGTTAATCATGCCCAGAAAGTGTGGCTCAATGGTTGAGCATCCACCCATGAACTGGAAGGTCAAGGTCTGATTTGGGATGGGTTGCAGGCTCAATCCCCAGTAGGGGGCATGCAGGAGGCAACCAATCGCTGATTCTCTCTCATCGATGTTTCTCCCTCTTTCCCCCTCTTCCTTCCTCTCTGAAATCAATAAAAAAATGTTAATCACTTAAAAGTTTGATAAATAATTGATGAAACATAGGTAAATATGCTTTGTAAACTATAAATTACTTTCATCCTAATACTTTATTCGTTTTTCATTTTAAATTAACCTGTTTGACTCATAACCTTTAAGTTTCTGGACTTTGTACAAAAAGTCTTAGAAGCTGTATTTTCAACTTCAATGAATGATATATACATAGTAAAAGGCAATACCTAAAATCTGTATTTCTCTAACCAACTTCAATTGCACCAATCTAGACTAACAGACTAAAATTTCAAAGAACAAATAACATCTGTACTTTTCACAAAGTTCCTTACAAGATCACATTTCCCAGAATCCCAAGTGAAATGGGAAAGCCTACAGCTTGTAGACACAGAGTAGAACAAAAATTGATAGAGGGAGAATGTAAAGGAAATCCCATGGAAACACTAACCTTAATCCAATCTCATTTTCCCCCAGTCAAGAGAAGTTTGCACTGCTGCTGCTTCTGCCCTGACATGATCCTTCTCTCCCTCTTGAAAACCTCTGCTTTTCTCTTCCTGGAAAGTTATCTCACAGGACTCTTGTTTTTCTAGCTAATTGTCAAAGGATGTCCTAAATAATACTAATTTCCCATAATCACAATAAGAGTTCCCAGTAAATTCAAAGAAGACAGCAACTCTACAGTTCAACTTTGGCAGATCTAAGAAAAAAATTAAACGTTAGAGCGACTGAGGCCCTTGAGATAAAAACTTTTTCATAAAGGCACCATCTCCTGAATTGAATTTGGTGTTCTACCTTCTAGGTCTCAAATGATCTTTATGTATATATATATATATTTTTTTATAACAGGAAAAAGAAATATTTTAGCCAACCAGCAGGGTGAGCCAGTGCTAGAATCAGTTTGAGTATTCTCAATTCTCTCAGAATTCAATGGTGTAAATGGTTTGCACTTTAAAAACTAAGTCATCATATCTCATTAAGTAAGTTTTTAAGTTATTGTCACAAAAGTTCTCATTAATATAATAGTATCTAATTAACAAGTAATCGCAAACATACTTCCTCTAATAAACCTGAATTAAAAGACGCAGTATACTTCTAGAACTGCTTCAGTCAGTGCTACATCTCATTAATTTTGTGCAATATTTACAGATCCTCCACCTACAAAACAGACATTCTCATCCTGGCTGGGTGGGTCAGTTGGTTGGAGTATAGTCCCATACACCAAAAAGTTGTGGGTTTGATTCCCAGTCAAGGCACATACCTAGGTTGTGAGTTTGATCTCTAGTTGGGTTTGTAGAGGAAGCAGCTAATCGATGTTTCTCTATCACACTGATGTTTCTTTCTCTCTCTCTCCCTCACTTTAAGAAGAAAAGGGGGGGGGGCGACTCCTAAAATTAGTGTTCTATAAAATTAGGACTGGATAATTCAACATACCAATTTCTGAATTTGGTGCAAACTACAGTTGCTTTAAGATATGCCTGCAAACCAGTTATGGAAAACACATTCCTACAAGACTAAGACCCACTCTTTTCCTTTGGAATCACAATCTGAGAGTCTAAATAAGTAACCCTAAATGTGTATATGGAATGAGAGAAAGGTGAACTTGATGTTTTCTGACAACCAATTTCTCTAAATTTCAGGTATCATCCAATCACTTCTAGTGGAGTCTTTTCTCCTTCTACTATGAGTGTCTCAATTCAACCACAACCAAAACTCTCCCTCTTATAACCTGAATGACAAATTAAACTTGCAAAATATGTAAGGTTTGCAGGTGATGGAGTCATTTTATAATTACAAATAATCTGGGAGTATTGTTAATTATCACAAGACTAGTGTGTAATTAAACCCACTCACTTACATAGTGGTGAAAAATATAAAAATAGCTTATCAACTTTCTTAGAAAAGTCAATGATTTAAATGTACCTTAAATGACCATTAAAGCTTTAAAACCTCAACATGATTTAACTGTTTTTGTTAAATTTGATATCCAAAAAGTTAAATTGTGATATTTCACCATAAATGATTTTACTACTTGTTTAATTTCTGTCAGAATTTACAGATATACTACTCAGTAGTAATTAGTCTTAAGTTGTTTTTAAATAGGGCCAAAGTAGCAAGTCCATTACACAACTACAACCCTATTACAAAATGAAAGGCACTAGCACCATTGTTTTCAGCATGCATCTCATTTCTTAGGTAATAACTGGTAGTAATGACAGTTATCTCAAACTTTTCAAGAAGTCTACCAAGCTACCCGTTTTTTTTGTTTGTTTTTTAAATATATATTTTTATTGATTTCAGAGAGGAAGGAAGAGGGAGAGAGAAACATCAATGTTGAGAATCATTGATCAGCTGCCTCCTGCATGCCCCCAACTGGGGATCGAGCCCACAACCCGGGCATGTGCCCTTGACCAGATCGAATCTGGGACCCTTCAGTCCGCAGGCCGATGCTCTATCCACCTAGCCAAACCGGCTAGGGCTGTTTTTTAATTTATGGATCATAATTGCTTTTTGAAAACCCCCAATTAAAACACAATATTGCTGTGAAACTATCTGAAATGTCTGTTATTTTGTATTATATTGGTTTTAATGAAAATCACTTTAAAACCTAAGTCATTATATCTCATTAAATAAGTTATTATCACAGTTCTCATGAATATTACAGTATCTAACACATATTCTCAAACATACTCCCTTATTTTATTTAACCACTGTTAGTTGTAGACAGTCGCATTCTAATACCAGAAAACATAAGCAATGAAAAGAGCAATGGGGAAGAAGCTGAGAGAGAATATTCCATTATGCCAACTTAATCATCACTGGCCCTTAATATAGCATAAAAGAGAAGGTGAGACTAGTGTTCCTTGAGATTCCTTCCATTCTAAAACTATGATTCAGTAATACACTTGTCAATGTGTTAATATAAGTCCTATTCATTAATATAAGAAGAATGCTCTGTTAGGAAAAAAGCTAAAAGGGGGAAAATCTGGGGGGGAAAAACACACACACACGGAAAATGGAAGTTTTAGGTAAAGGTGGAAAGTCCAAATTTTAATTTGAACAGAGATCTCAAGTTAGTGATTGCAATGTGTTTAAGCATCCTTTCAATCATTTTAATTTGTTAATGTGATCTGGCCAAAACATTAGTCGTTTCCAAATTTTGTACTTCAAATATTAGTTATTATCAATACACAAAGTCATAAGTGCAGTATAACTTTAAGTCATGTTAGGAATTCTAAAATTTACAATACTATGATTTTAACAGCAATATACATATCATTTTATTAATATTAGTCAAGCCTTCATGTTTCACCTATTAAAATGTCTAAATTATAACTTTATAAAAACTGATTTTTTTCTTACCAAACCTACTAATGCAATATTGCAGCCATCAAGTTCCCTGGATACTTACATATGGCACTGAAGGCAAACAGCCAGATTCCTTTTTTTGAGCAATTTGAGTTGTCTATTTTTTGAAATGTTTTCTGACATATATAAAAAAAAAAAGCCTAAGCTACTGCAGAGAGGCAATATTCTATTAAAGCCAATCTAATCTACCATCAAGATGCAACAAGACTGGCATTAGTCGGGACTGGCCAGAAGAGACGTTGTTTTGTCATTTCTGTTGAAATGATTGATTTGTGTACAAAAGAGGACGATCATTCCTGGATCCCCTTGTTTGAGTTACTTCTTAATGACTTCTGAAGGAAGACATAAAACTTGCAGCCTACACCTAAGTTGTATACACCAGCTAAATGTATGTCAACATGACTGCGAACAGTTCAAGAAAAGTTTTCCACTAAAGGTGGCTCAATAAACCACGGATGGGTCCCGACACGAGAGCCGTCTGCGGAAGTCTGGCCACAAGAAGCCTTTAGCTCCGCCGACTCCCTCAGCTGCCCATCACCGAGAAGGGTGCGTGCGGGGCCCCGCACCTCCGGGCTCCCGGGAGGTCGAGCACACACCTGCTTCCCTCGGGCAGAGGGTAAGCTCCCGGGGACACAAAGCCAGGGGGTCAGACCTGGAGAAGCAAAAGGCTTGAGCGGACACCCACCGAGCTCTCTGCAAACCACGCACTGGGAGCGAATCTCTTGGCACTACTTCCCAGGCACCTACCGCAAAATCATACGAGATCTAGCCAAGAGAGGAATAGCGCTCTCGCCGCTCGTGAGCGAGGGAGTGCCAGCTTCTTGAACAGGCGGGGCGGGCGGAGCGCCAGCAGCCCCGCAGACGGGGGCCCGGTCCTGCCCTCGGACGCCCCCGTTACTCGGTGCCAGGCAATTGCGGACCGCCGGGCTCCCCGAAGCCCCCGGGCCCCGGCCAGATCGCGGCCCCTTCCCCCGACTGCTCACTGGCTGCTCGGCTTCATGTGACTAAAACAAAACCCCCAAGTCTAGTGCCCAGCTCAGCCCCTTTGTGTCCGCCACCCGGA